GTTGGGTGTGCCCAGGGTGCCAGGCCCCACCCTGTCTCACCATCACAGCTCTGCCTGGCAGCAATGTGTCCACTGATGCGCAGCTCTGGCCCACCTGCCCTCTCCAGGACCATCTGCAGCTCCCCCAGCACCAGCCAGTCCATCTCCTGGGCTGTCAGGTTGGGCAGCACCTCAGCAAAGCCTGGCTCCTGGGGACAGAGCAGGGTATGGTGGGCGCAGAAAGAGGCCAGAGCAGGCGGCAGCAAGAGCCAGACCCTCACTCACCTGGACTGAGGCATTGGCCTGGAGCTCTCGCAATAGCTGCCCCTGGTGTAGAATTTGGAGCCGCAAGGGAACTTGGGCTGGTCCTGCAACAGCTGCACATGTGGACACCACTGAGAGAGAGGGGTTCTCCCTACCCTCCTCACATGCTCTTCTCCCATCCCACTTACCCCCGCTTCGAGATTCCAGCAACCCACGGAAGAGCAGCAAAAAATGCAAGGAGTCCTCTGTGTCACTGAGAGTGAGTAGAGTGATGCCCCCTATGCCCTGCTGTGGGGAGCCTTCCAGAGTCAGGATGGCACTGAAGGTCTCTAGGGGAGGGAGGACCATGAGAGCCCATCAGCAAGTCCTCTCCTCAGCCCACTCTATTCCTGGGGATAGAGAAGACTCAGAACCTCATGTCCAGGGGCCATTGGCTCCCCTCACCTGCAGCCAGGGCCCGGTGCCGGATGAGAGGCCCCCAGATCTCCCCTGAAGGGTGAGTGGGTGTCACGAGTGCCACATGCAGCTGTTCTGCCCTAAGGAGCCTCAGAGACAACCGAGGCACTGCCCGCCACACCCCACAGACCTGGAGCAGAGAGACAAGAAGGCCCTACTCAGACAGTATGCAGGCCAGCTGAGAGGTCCAGCTCTGGTGAGGAAGGAAGATGAGAAGAAGCCCCCAGGCCCTCCTAGGAAGCTTAAGAAGGGGCCCCGGAACCAGATGCTGGGGTCCAAATCCTGGCTCCACCACTTACTAGCTATGTGACCTTGAGCAAACCACATTCTGCTACTAAGCCTCACTTCCTTTATCTGTAAAATGGGCATCATAACGTCAGAGCCTTCCTCCCACTGGGCTGTTGTGAGGACCGAAGGAGGCAATGCAGAGCATGCTCTCAGCACAGTGCCCAGACTGGATAAGCACTCGTAAATGGCATCATCTCACCAGGCCATCTTGGGTGGGGGCTGCAGGGTGTTCAAACAGGACGCTGCCAGTGGCATCTGAGAAGCGGATCCGGGTGGGGCGGTCCAGCCTGGGAATGAGGGGTCCCTTGAGGCAGGACTCTGAGCCTGGGCCAAAAGCAGCCCCTCCAGGCTCTCCCAATTCTCCCCCCTCGGCGCTCAGCTGATCCCTCCTCCCTCCTTCCCCTTTCTCACCGCCGGTAGGAGATGGAGAAACGCAGGCTAGAGCGCAGCAGCGACACTCGAGCCCGTGCCACGGCCTGCGACCTCGGCCCTGTCAGCAGCGCCACGAAGTCTGCATGGGGAGGAAGATGTCCCTAGTGCCGTCACTGGCTGCGGCGGCCCGGCCCCAACCACGACCTCAAACCCCCCACTCCCAGCCCCCGCCCCCGCCTACCGGTGTGGCCGTCTCCACGCGCCCTATCCTCAGCGCCCGGCTCCCCGCGGTCGCTGTAGCTGCGATGCTCCGGGTCCCGCGGATACTCGAAGGCCAGGCCGGTCGGCTGCCTCTCGGGACCGCTGCGCTCTGCGCCGGGGTGGGGGACACGGGCTTCGGCTGGGCACTGGGAGGGCCAATTGGCCGCTCCATCCGCCCCATCTGTGTGGCTCAGGACCAAGTATCGGCCCTGCCTGCCTCCCCTCACCGCGGAGCGGGCCTTACCCTGGGGGCAGGTCTGGCAGCAGTGTCCGGGCAGCTGGCGTGGCTGCCCGCAGGCCAGGGCTGGGCACTCGGGTTTGATGTTCTTGCAGCTGACCCTGCCCGGGCCCCTTGCGCGGCGACCCCACTGAGGCTGCTCGCAGAGAAGACGGGAAAACCGAGTAAGCGCAAGACGCTAATCCGTGAGACCCAAAGGCCAGGGGTGGGGAGTCACGGGACCAGGGCAGGGTGGTCCCACCGAGTCAGACCGCTCTGTTACTTACAAGCTGCGTGACTCTAGACAAGTTACTTAACCTCTCTGGGCCTTAGGGTCCCTATCAGAAAAATGGGGATAATAATAGCATCCATCTAGCCGGGTTGTAAGACGAGTCAAGTCAGAGACGAAATGGAGTTGGCACAGAGCCTGACACATAGAAAGCGATCAATAACAGTCAACACCTGAGAGTTGAAGGAGGCACTTCCTCCGTTCTTCCTCTGCCAGAAAAACATCCCAAATATCTGCAGACTAGCTTCTTTCTCCTTAGCAGCTCGGAGTTCACTCCGACGTCCCAGGACCCGAGCGCTCCCCCACCCTCAAGAGCCCGGGCCACCGCCACGGGGTCCACTCACCGCCTCGCAGGCGCACAGCACGCAGCGCATCACCCCGAAGGGCTCCCCCAGGTCCGGGTGCCACGTCTCGTCCAAGGCATAAACCTTCCCGCCGAAGGAGCAGCCTGCGGGGACGGGCTTGGCTGGCGGCCGCTGTCCCGCTCCTGCCGTGTGCCCGCCCCGGGTGCTGCCGGCCGGGCCCTGGGGTCCCCGAGCACTGCGCGCCCCG